AGCGTGAAACTCAAGTCACACTCTGTCAGATGTTTTATAGATGACTTTCATCTGTTCTTCCTGTTTCCTCCTCTGAAGGAAGAATCCAGAATGTTGTTGTAGAGAATCACATGTAGTCAATCATTTTGATCATTGGGATGAAAGTTGTAAAGGAAGAACAAAAAAATTGTGTCAATTACGCGTGCTGTTTTCTATATTTATTTCCTCAGCTTGACCTTGGCATTAAATCAGTGTGGAAGGTCATGTCTTTATCTGTTCTCTGCTCTTCAGCATCCCCAATGGTCGACCGCCTCCGTGGTCTAGTGGTAGAGCATTGCCCGGAGAGCGGAAGGTCCGGGGTTCGATCCCCGACCACGTCATACCAAAAGACGTTAAAACATGGTAGTTGTTTTTACCCTGTCTGGTGCTCGGCATTAAGGGGCTAAAACAAGGACTGGTTGGCTCGGAGTCTGTATACTGTGTCTGAGTGGGGTATTCATGTTAAACTGCAGCATGGTATCTCAGTGAGCTAGTATTATAAATCGGCATCAGTCCGGACTAGTACAAGCCGCCACACACACACACACACGTGCACGCACGTCGCTATATAAGTGCAATAATCTTGGACGCGACATTAAACCCCATTTCACCTCACCTCCCCAATGGCCAGGACTGCCTTCAGTCTGTAACCATCAGCTAACCAACAATACTCAACAATAGTCAACATTAAGGCAAAACAGTCAACAGTTGTCAGCATTAAGGCAAAATAGTCAACAGTAGTCAACATTAAGGCAAAATAGTCAACAGTAGTCAGCATTAAGGCAAAATAGTCAACAGTTGTCAGCATTAAGGCAAAATAGTCAACAGTAGTCAGCATTAAGGCAAAATAGTCAACAGTAGTCAGCATTAAGGCAAAATAGTCAACAGTTGTCAGCATTAAGGCAAAATAGTCAACAGTAGTCAGCATTAAGGCAAAATAGTCAACAGTAGTCAGCATTAAGGCAAAATAGTCAACAGTTGGCAGCATTAAGGCAAAATAGTCAACAGTAGTCAGCATTAAGGTAAAATATTCAACAGTTGGCAGCATTAAGGCAAAATAGTCAACAGTTGGCAGCATTAAGGCAAAATAGTCAACAGTAGGCAGCATTAAGGTTAAATAGTCAACAGTTGTCAGCACTAAGGCAAAATTGTCGACAGTTTGCAGCATTAAGGCAAAATAGTCAACATAACTGCACAATACTCAACAATAGTCAACATCAAGGCAAAATGGTTGTCATTAATGCAGTGATCAACATTAAAGCACAATGCACAACAATAGTCATTATTATTGCCAAATAGTCATTAAAGCACAATAGTTAACATTAACGCAGAGTGATCAACATTAAAACACATTGTAACACATTAGTCGTCATTAAAACACATTGTAAGACAACAGTCAACATTAAAACACATTGTAACACAATAGTCATCATTAAAACACATTGTAACACAATAGTCATCACTAAAACACATTGTAACACAATAGTCGTCATTAAAACACATTGTAACACAATAGTCATCACTAAAACACATTGTAAACAATAGTCATCATTAAAACACATTGTAAACAAAAGTCATCATTAAGACACATTGTAACACAATAGTCATCATTAAAACACATTGTAACACAATAGTCGTCATTAAAACACATTGTAAACAATAGTCATCATTAAAACACATTGTAAACAATAGTCATCACTAAAACACATTGTAACACAATAGTCGTCATTAAAACACATTGTAAACAATAGTCATCATTAAAACACATTGTAAACAATAGTCATCACTAAAACACATTGTAACACAATAGTCATCATTAAAACACATTGTAACACAATAGTCGTCATTAAAACACATTGTAACACAATAGTCGTCATTAAAACACATTGTAAACAATAGTCATCATTAAAACACATTGTAACACAATAGTCGTCATTAAAACACATTGTAAACAATAGTCATCATTAAAACACATTGTAACACAATAGTCGTCATTAAAACACATTGTAACACAATAGTCGTCATTAAAACACATTGTAACACAATAGTCGTCATTAAAACACATTGTAACACAATAGTCGTCATTAAAACACATTGTAACACAATAGTCATCATTAAAACACATTGTAAACAATAGTCGTCATTAAAACACATTGTAACACAATAGTCATCATTAAAACACATTGTAACACAATAGTCATCATTAAAACACATTGTAACACAATAGTCGTCATTAAAACACATTGTAACACAATAGTTGTCATTAAAACACATTGTAACACAATAGTCATCATTAAAACACATTGTAACACAATAGTCATCATTAAAACACATTGTAACACAATAGTCGTCATTAAAACACATTGGAACACAATAGTTGTCATTAAAACACATTGTAACACAACAGTCATCATTAAAACACATTGTAACACAATAGTCGTCATTAAAACACATTGTAACACAATAGTCGTCATTAAAACACATTGTAAACAATAGTCATCACTAAAACACATTGTAACACAATAGTCGTCATTAAAACACATTGTAACACAATAGTCGTCATTAAAACACATTATAGTAATAGTTAACATTAGGTTTCCTCTGCCGCTGTGCAGCTTACAACACATCCCAGGTACAGCTCAACCAACCCGTCAGGCTTCCCACTTGAGACAGGTCCTGCGTGTATGTGATTATTACCTAGGCAATAAGAAAGTAGGATTGCCATTTAAAAAATTCTAAATGGTTTTTGCTAGGACAAATTTAGTTGAATGAAGCATTTTTTCCAATCTCTTCCTCTTAAAAATCTCTTTCTGAGAGTACTGTATACTTAAAAATCATGATGTGTCTCAAAATTAATGTGGGAAGCCCTACATTTGAAATATACAAACTAAACAGCTAACGACAGCACAATAAACTATAGACTTGGAATTCCATGGTATGATATGGGGAAATAGATTTGAATTGAATAATATATTTTACTTTCGTAAGAAACATTGCTGCTCCTCCTTGTAATGTGATTGAACTTCTGGGAAATTACAAGCAGGAAATTCAATATTAGGTTTATCAGTGGTCATGGAGGTGACTCAAAATTTGACCTTTTGCAGGGCTCGATTTAGCTATATATACTACTCAAAAGAAGTTAAGGATCACCTGATTCTTCCATGTTACAATAGTTAATCTTTCATGCCATGACAGATTAACATTACCAAAATGAAAGAATCGGGTGATCCTTAACTTCTTTTGAGCTATATATAACATGCACCAGTGCAGCCTATCAATGAAAAATGTAACCTTATACAGTCATCCCCCCCCCCCCGTGATAACGCGGGTCTCGGGGTCCATGGACAACCCCCGTGTTATCAGACACCCTCGTTATTCCAATAATGGAATGTAGGTCGGGTGATTGTTCAACTAAAGAGGACACGAATACATGTCTACAATATGTCTACAATGCACCAAGTACATGTAAAAAAATTCAATTAATAAATAACTTTAATACCGTATTCGACATAATAAGCGTCCAAGCGCTCTCCAAATTAGAAATAGGGGGCTTTATTAGAATATTATTTTGGTGAAAAAAACAGCGTTGAAAGATAAATTTTGTGGTTTATGCTGACAGCCTGAAAGCTTTATGTACGACAGATATACTTTTCCAGAATTGAATTGCCCATAATTAAGGGTGCATATAACACACTAGTCCGTATTATAATAAATAAATCTTGTGTACATTGATCAATCGGAAGGGGTGCTAATTGGGATTGTTCACCATGTTCACTAGCCAATACATTAGCAAATATCGCTGTGGGCGCTTATTAGAGCGGGGCGCTTATTACGTCGAGTACGGTAACTATAATAAACCTTTACTTGTTCACACAACATCAACCATTGAACCTCTTAGTAGCCTTACTATCTCCTGTGTTTTGTGTAGTTCTTGACACATGACACAGTGAGCACAGAACAGATATTTAGAGACTAGATTATGCGTCCATGTTTCAACTTTATGGGACTAGGGTCCCACCCTATATCGTCTGGTGCAACAAGCTTTTCATGTCAACATGCACCTGGTGCAAGTTAAATCTATTGCTCAAATCAAGCCCTGTTTTGCCATGCTCGTAATGTTCCTATTTCAGCAGGTGTTGTGCCATTCAGCATGTTCTTATTTCAGCAGGTGTTATGCCATTCAGCATGTTCTTATTTCAGCAGGTGTTGTGCCATTCAGCATGTTCTTATTTCAGCAGGTGTTGTGCCATTCAGCATGTTCATATTTCAGTAGGTGTTGTGCCATTCATTGAGCCAAGTCAGGACGATCTGCTCGATAATCAATGTCTACATTGTGATAAAACAGGTCTTACATCGCGAAATGCATCAAATCACGTGAACACCTTGATTAAAAACAAGAAAAGATTTCGAAAATATCTGTTGACAACGAGTTGGCAGTGCACATGCTTTGCAAATCCTGCAATCCATCGAAATCTGCATGACAGATTACGAACTGGATTTCGATTTTGTTGCGCGATTTTGATTGGACTATGCATAGACTCGTTAGTCCAGCCAAATTGTAACTCCATAATACGAGCCTAGTTTGGCAAGGGTGGAAACTGGACTTTTAAAGTCAGTTAACCCTCTTGCCTCGGGAAGATGAATTACACTGGTGTTGACATTTTATAGTTACGACAGGGGGCACGGGTGGCCCAGTCGTCTAAGGCGCCGCGATTCGCTGTGCAGAGTTGCATCCCTTGGGCACGCCAGAAACCTATGATTGTGGGTTCGAATCCCGGTTCGCCCCAATTATGTTTCTAGGTTTGTCAGCATCATACCCGTGCTCGTGGGTTTCACCGAAGTGGTAAACGTCTGAGACCTGCATCACTTCGGGCTTTCCTCCCACATTAAGCTGACACGCCGCGATATAAGTGGAATACTGTTAAAAGCGGCGTTAAACACAACTCACTCAAGATATAGTTACGACTTTCTTTTCATTCCAGATGGTTCCACCCAAACATTTCTGGGATGGATGCAGAGAAGCTCCTCATGGAGCGGGGCACAGACGGGAGCTTCCTGGCGAGACCTAGCAAGAGCAAGGAAGGGGACTTCACTCTGTCAGTCAGGTGAGTCTCACTACGTAGTTCCAACGACCCGTGAAGATCCGGGGTAGAATAACTCTTCAACAACCCATGCTTGCCGTAAAAGGTGACTATGCTTGTCGTAAGAGGCGACTAATGGGATCGGGTGGTCAGGCTCGCTGACTTGGTTGATGCATGTCATCGATCCCAATTGCGTGGATTGATGCTCATGATATTAATCCCTGGATTGTCTGGTCCAGACTCGATTATTTACAGACCGCCATCATATAGCTGGAATATTGCTGAGTGCGGCGTTAAACAACAAAACAACAAAAGTTCCTAGTTCCAACAGATGGCATGTTCTCCTGAGCATTCCCAATTGTTTGGTACCCTATAGAGCATTCACTCCATGAAATAAAACCTTATTCACTCACTCGCTCCGTGTAATAAATCCTTCTTCACTCGCTCACATGTAATAAACCCATATTCTGATGCTCGCTCACTCCATGCAATGAAACCCTATTCCCTCTTTCACTCCATGATTAAAACCTTATTCACTCACTCGCTCACAAGTAATAATACCCTATGCACTCCATGAAATAAAACCTTATCCATTCACTCATTCATAAGTAATAAAACCCTATTCATTCATTCACTCCATGAATAAAACCTTACTCCCTTAATAAAATCTTACTCCATGAAATAAAACCCTATTCACTCTATGAAATAAAACCTTATTCACTCACTCACTCACTCACTCACAAGTAATAAAAATCTATTCACTCCATAAAATAAAATCGTATTCACTCACTCCATGTAATAAGACCTTATTCACTCACTTGCTCATAAGTAATAAAACCCTATTCACTCATTCACTCCATGAAATAAAAACTTATTCGCTCACTCACTCACTCCATGCAGTAAGATCCCTTTCACACACGTATTGCCTCTTTCTGGTACAGACGCAATGGTGAAGTCACTCACATCAAGATCCAGAACACGGGGGACTTCTATGATCTGTACGGAGGAGAGAAGTTTGCCACCCTAGCAGAACTGGTGCAGAACTACATGGAGAAGTACAGCCAGCTGAAGGAGAAGAATGGAGAAGTCATTGAGCTGAAGTACCCTCTGATGTCAGAAGACCCAACCCCAGAGAGGTCAGTCTGTCTTAAAACTGAAGTACTCTGTCATGTAGCTCTACCCCAGAGAGGTCAGTCCGCCTTAGAGCTGAAGTATTGTCATGTAGCTCTACCCCAGAGAGGTCAGTCCGTCTTAGAGCTGAAGTATTGTCATGTAGCTCTACCCTAGAGAGGTCAGTCTGTCTTAGAGCTGAAGTATTCTGTCATATAACTCTACCAAGAGAGGTCATTCCGTCTTAGAGCTGAAGTATTCTGTCATGTAGCTCTACCCCAGAGAGGTCAGTCCGTCTTAGAGCTGAAGTATTGTCATGTAGCTCTACCCCAGAGAGGTCAGTCCGTCTTAGAGCTGAAGTATTGTCATGTAGCTCTACCCCAGAGAGGTCAGTCCGTCTTAGAGCTGAAGTATTGTCATGTAGCTCTACCCCAGAGAGGTCAGTCCATCTTAGAGCTGAAGTATTGTCATGTAGCTCTACCCTAGAGAGGTCAGTCCGTCTTAGAGTTGAAGTATTCTGTAATGTAACTCTACCCCAGAGAAGTCCGTCTTAGAGCTGAAGTATTGTCATGTAGCTCTACCCCAGAGAGGTCAGTCCGTCTTAGAGCTGAAGTATTCTGTAATGTAACTCTACCCCAGAGAAGTCCGTCTTAGAGCTGAAGTATTCTGTCATGTAGCTCTACCCTAGAGAGGTCAGTCCGCCTTAGAGCTGAAGTATTGTCATGTAGCTCTACCCTAGAGAGGTCAGTCCGTCTTAGAGCTGAAGTATTGTTATGTAGCTCTACCCCAGAGAGGTCAGTCCGTCTTAGAGCTGAAGTATTCTGTAATGTAACTCTACCCCAGAGAAGTCCGTCTTAGAGCTGAAGTATTCTGTCATGTAGCTCTACCCTAGAGAGGTCAGTCCGTCTTAGAGCTGAAGTATTCTGTCATGTAGCTCTACCCTAGAGAGGTCAGTCCGTCTTAGAGCTGAAGTATTCTGTCATATAACTCTACCAAGAGAGGTCATTCCGTCTTAGAGCTGAAGTATTCTGTCATGTAGCTCTACCCTAGAGAGGTCAGTCCGCCTTAGAGCTGAAGTATTGTCATGTAGCTCTACCCCAGAGAGGTCAGTCCGTCTTAGAGCTGAAGTATTGTCATGTAGCTCTACCCCAGAGAGGTCAGTCCGTCTTAGAGCTGAAGTATTCTGTAATGTAACTCTACCCCAGAGAAGTCCGTCTTAGAGCTGAAGTATTCTGTCATGTAGCTCTACCCTAGAGAGGTCAGTCCGTCTTAGAGCTGAAGTATTCTGTCATGTAGCTCTACCCTAGAGAGGTCAGTCCAACTTAGAGCTGAAGTATTGTCATGTAGCTCTACCCTAGAGAGGTCAGTCCGTCTTAGAGCTGAAGTATTGTTATGTAGCTCTACCCCAGAGAGGTCAGTCCGTCTTAGAGCTGAAGTATTCTGTAATGTAACTCTACCCCAGAGAAGTCCGTCTTAGAGCTGAAGTATTCTGTCATGTAGCTCTACCCTAGAGAGGTCAGTCCGTCTTAGAGCTGAAGTATTCTGTCATGTAGCTCTACCCTAGAGAGGTCAGTCCGTCTTAGAGCTGAAGTATTCTGTCATATAACTCTACCAAGAGAGGTCATTCCGTCTTAGAGCTGAAGTATTCTGTCATGTAGCTCTACCCTAGAGAGGTCAGTCCGCCTTAGAGCTGAAGTATTGTCATGTAGCTCTACCCTAGAGAGGTCAGTCCGTCTTAGAGCTGAAGTATTGTTATGTAGCTCTACCCCAGAGAGGTCAGTCCGTCTTAGAGCTGAAGTATTGTCATGTAGCTCTACCCCAGAGAGGTCAGTCCGTCTTAGAGCTGAAGTATTGTCATGTAGCTCTACCCCAGAGAGGTCAGTCCGTCTTAGAGCTGAAGTATTCTGTAATGTAACTCTACCCCAGAGAAGTCCGTCTTAGAGCTGAAGTATTCTGTCATGTAGCTCTACCCTAGAGAGGTCAGTCCGTCTTAGAGCTGAAGTATTCTGTCATGTAGCTCTACCCTAGAGAGGTCAGTCCGTCTTAGAGCTGAAGTATTCTGTCATATAACTCTACCAAGAGAGGTCATTCCGTCTTAGAGCTGAAGTATTCTGTCATGTAGCTCTACCCTAGAGAGGTCAGTCCGCCTTAGAGCTGAAGTATTGTCATGTAGCTCTACCCTAGAGAGGTCAGTCCGTCTTAGAGCTGAAGTATTGTTATGTAGCTCTACCCCAGAGAGGTCAGTCCGTCTTAGAGCTGAAGTATTCCGTAATGTAACTCTACCCCAGAGAAGTCCGTCTTAGAGCTGAAGTATTCTGTCATGTAGCTCTACCCTAGAGAGGTCAGTCCGTCTTAGAGCTGAAGTATTGTCATGTAGCTCTACCCTAGAGAGGTCAGTCCGTCTTAGAGCTGAAGTATTCTGTCATATAACTCTACCAAGAGAGGTCAGTCCGTCTTATCTCCACACTGATGCCTGAAGACCTTCAAGTGCCAACAGGCACCTATAGTTGTATACTCCCCAGGAAGTTGAGAAGGAAATTTGGCAACGTCAGTCTAACTGGATCAATAATTGTGTTGTGCCATGATCATTTTCTAATGATAGATGTGGTATATATTGTTATTATTATTTTCATTAATATTTCTATCGTTATTATTGTTATCATAACTGTATTTTCTTGAGTATATTGTTCACTTTTTTTCCAAAACACACAGCTGGGTTGAAGGGTGTGTGCATATACACGCCATCATGAGTTTTGATAGGTTTTTTGCCCCAACGCAAAGACATTACCGTGAGCACGTAACCATGATATACTATGTCAACAAATCCATACTGAAGTAGGCAAATTAATCATGTAATTACACTGTCTGGCTATAAAAAGAGTTCATTGTATATCTGGACTTATCTTTGTAACTTATTTTATTAATTTTATTCAAAATTCCTTTAAATATTGTTTTAATTCATTTCGGCTAAGCGATCGGAAGATCACACATTTCGCCGTTATTAACCGCGGCTATTAATTATTATCATCGTCATCATCATCATCATCATCATCATCATCATATTATTATTATTATTATTATTATTATTATTATTATTATTATTATTATCGTTGTTGCAGATGGTTCCATGGTCATATATCTGGAAAGGAGGCAGAGAAATGTTTGATGGACAAGGGTAAAAATGGCAGTTACTTGGTGCGAGAGAGCCAGAGCAAGCCGGGCGACTTTGTTCTTTCTGTCAGATGTGAGGATAAAATAACACATGTGAAGATTCGATATCACGTAAGTCCTTGTTATTCCCTTGGACTTAATGTGAGATTTGTTTTTACATCCTGGCGGATGGCTCAGTCAGTGCTGTATCTGGACATGTTTGGACAGTCTGGGACTTTAGCCACTACTCTGTAGCCTGAGTCAAGTCAAATTCTTTCGGTCGAGTAAGCATTGCTTATAAAAGTTTGTTAGATCTACTGAAAATGTCAAGAGGCAGGGTCGGTCTAGCAGACTCAAATGTTTTTGGCACAGACTACTTAGATGCCAATATATATTTGGGCCCAACTCTGCAACAAATGGGGGGCACGGGTGGCCCAGTTGTCTAAGGTGCCGCGATTCGCTATGCAGAGTTGCGTCCCTTGGGCACGCCAGAAACCTATGATTGTGGGTTCGAATCCAGGTTTGCCCCGATTATGTTTCTAGGTTTGTCAGTACCATACCCGTGCTCGTGGGTTTCACCGAAGTGGTAAACGTCTGAGACCTGCATCACTTCGAGCTTTCCTCCAACATTAAGCTGACACGCCGTGATATAACTTGAATACTGTTAAAAGCGGCGTTAAACCCAACTCACTCACTGCAGCAAATGTCTGTAAGAAATTCCCAAATTGGAATTAAACAATTTTAATTTCATGCTGTTATAGATGTCACTCGTAATAGCTTTGTAAGGTGACTTGATTACGGCCCAATACCGAGCAGGAGGCTTTAATGCATCGAATTCCAGACCTCTGAATTTAGTGAGGGAAAAAACTTTAAAAGCATCCCAATTTTGAACAAAATTTAAAAAAATCCCAATGGGCCTGCCAAGGACACTCAGTCTGGAGTCCTAGTTAAGTCCCTGCCAGGGTGTAAGGTGTTGTTTGTGAAGAATTGTCTCCCCTTTCCATGCCAGTATCCTATGATCACATGCCTCACCTCGTCTAGGATCTGCTGGTTTGGGGTCTGAATCCCAGATTTGTCCTGATTGTGAAACTTTTGTGTGGTAAACATGGTAAAGCAAAGAAACAACTAAATATATAAAACTTTGTTCCATGTGAATTAATCATCCAACACATCATGATATTACAGAAATTTATGTCATGGAATTATTATTTTTATCCGACAGACTTTTGAACTGTTCACAAAGATTCATAAAAAGTCAATACACATAAAAATATTAGAAACGGCTGTGCTCTAGTAGATAGAACGTCTGCCCCGAGAGTTGAAGGTCAGTTTGATCCCCGGCCGCGTCAAACCAAGAGACGTTAAAGATTGTACTTGTTGTTTCCCTGTCTGGTGCTTGGCATTAAGGGGCTAAAACAAGGACTGGTCGGCTCGGAGTCAGTATACTGTGTCTGAGTAGGGTATTCATGTTAAACAGCGGCATGGTGTCTCAGTGGGCTAGCAGTATAAATTGGCATCAGTCTGGACTAGTACAAGCAGCCACACACACAGACACACACATGATGAATGCACCTTGCTATATAAGTGCAATAATCTTGAACTCTACCTTAAACCCGTTTTCACCTCACTCACTCACTCCTCCACAAACAACATGTTTTGTTGCAGGAAGGGAAGTACGATGTGGGAGGTGGGGAGCAATTCCAGACACTCTCAGAACTAGTCGACCATTACAAGAAGAACCCTATGGTGGAAACGTCGGGCACTGTCGTCCATCTTAAAATGGTGAGTGCCTACACGATATCATCTGTTTTTGCACGTTCTTATGAATTTCAACAGTAATTAAGGTAAGGGTTTGCCTGTGAAAATATAGGGTGCACGGGTGGCCCAGTCGTCTAAGGCGCCGCGATTCGCTGTGCAGAGTTGCGTCCCTTGGGTATGCCAGAAACCTATGATTGTGGGTTCGAATCCCGGTTCACCCCAATTATGTTTCTAGGTTTGTCACCATACCCGTGCTCGTAGGTTTCACCGAAGTGGTATATGTCTGAATCCTGCATCACTTCGGGCTTTCCTCCCACATTAAGCTGACACGCCGTGATATAAATGGAATACTGTTAAAAGCGGTGTTAAACCCAACTCACTCACTCACTCACTCACTCACTCACTCACTCACTCACTCACTCACTGTGAGAATATAAAGTTGACATCATGTTTTGAGAGAACTAACCTGAGGGGCCTCATGGGAATCATGTTTATTTAAAGGTCTTTTATTAGTGATCGTGTGAAAAAATTCCTGTAAGACCTGGCTAGACCGCCTTTGTGGCCTAGCGGATAGAGCTTTTCTTCAGAGAGCGGAAGGTCGGTGGTTTGATTCCAGGCCATCATAAAAGATGGTACTTGTTGTTGCCCTGCCTGGTGCTAGGTGACAGCTGAAATATTGCTAACTGCAGTTTAAAGCAACAAACAAAAATACTCACATCACTCCTGACTCTACGAATTATTTCACCTACAATATTTTCCTGTAACTTGTAATAAACATTTTGTTTCAGCCGTTCAACGCCACAAGAATCACAGCATCTGGTATCGACAATCGCATCAAACAACTCCAGGCTGAGAAGGAGAATGACAAGAATAAGGGAGGATTCTGGGATGAGTTCGAGGTACGAGGTTTTTTTGCTTGGAAATCCGTTTTATATCTTTTTAATTTTATTTTTAATTAATTTTTAATTAATTTTTATAGGCATATAAACAATGTACACACAAGGTATTCAAAGTGACATCAAGAAGTGTTTGTTACAGCCATTGTCTATAATCGTCATTTACCTGTGATTGTCATTTACCTGTAATTGCCATTTACCTGTGATTGTCATTTACCTGTGATTGCCATTTACCTGTAATTGCCATGTACCTGTGATTGTCATTTACCTGTAATTGTCATTTACCTGTAATTGCCATTTACCTGTAATTGCCATTTACCTGTGATTGTCACTTACCTATGATTGTCGTTTACCTGTAATTTGTCATTTACCTGTGATTGTCATTTACCTGTGATTTCAGCAATTGCAACAACAAGAGGTTCGCCACCTGTACAGCCGAAAGGAGGGTATGAGACCCGAAAACAAAGCTAAAAATAGATACAAGAATATTTTACCCTGTGAGTATTTGACGTGTCCAATTCCTTTATAGCATTTATCATACATCAGTTCAAACATGCATATGACATACTGTCAGTGTGTATGGACAGATGTTTTTTGTCTTCATGGTTTACAAATTTGTTGCAAAATTGTTTTCGTGGATCAAAATGAAAATGATGATAATTTTTTGTATATTAACCTTTTTAGCTTCAGTTGTCATATTGAGAACCTCCCCCAAGTGAGTTCAAAAGTTTTAACGTCCATGGTTTGCTAAAGAGTCTTTAACTCTTATGGGGGGCACTGGTGGCCCAGTCGTCTAAGGCACAGAGATTCGCTGTGCAGAGTTGCGTCCCGTGGGCACGCCAGAAACCTATTATTGTGGGTTCAAATCCCAATTCGCCCCAATTATGTTTCTAGGTTTGTCAGCACCATACCCGTGCTCGTGGGTTTCACCGAAGTGGTAAACGTCTGAGACCTGCATCACTTCGGGCTTTCCTCCCACATTAAGGAGACACGCTGTGATATAACTGGAATACTGTTAAAAGTGGTGTTAAACCCAACTCACTCACTCACTCAATTTTATGGATGGGTGTTGAGATATTTGATATCAAGAGACACAAGAGAAGGATTCAGTTTTTCATCCAGAATCATTTTGCCAACTATTTCAGAATGTAAACAGTGATAAGTGTTTTTGTGTAAAAGGTACAGCTAACCAGGTTCAGAGATTACTGATGTCATTGTCTTGTGATGTCATGGTAACCAATGATGTCACAATGGCCTGCAATGCATTGTATTGTGATACAGGTTAAACAACTAGACAAACTGTTACAACAGTGACAATCCGTTACAACAGTGACGATCCGTTACAACAGTGACGATCCGTTACAACAGTGACGATCAGTTACAACAGTGACAATCAGTTACAACAGTGACAATCAGTTACAACAGTGACGATCCGTTACAACAGTGACAATCAGTTACAACAGTGACAATCAGTTACAACAGTGACAATCAGTTACAACAGTGACAATCAGCTACAACAGGTTAAACAACTAGACAATGAGTTACAACAATGACAACCATTTACAACCGTGACAATCAGTTACAACAGGTTAAACAACTAGACAATCAGTTACAACAATGACAATCAGTTACAACAGGTTAGACAACTAGACAATCAGTTACAACAGTGACAATCAGCTACAACAATGACAATCAGTTACAACAGGTTAGACAACTAGACAATCAGTTACAACAGTGACAATCATTTACAACCGTGACAATCAGTTACAACAGGTTAAACAACTAGACAATCAGCTACAACAATGACAATCAGTTACAACAATGACAATCATTCACAACAATGACAATCAGCTACAACAATGACAATCAGTGACAATGGTGACAATCAGCTACAACAATGACAATCAGTGACAATGGTGACAATCAGCTACAACAATGACAATCAGTTACAACAGTGACAATCAGCTACAACAGTGACAATCAGTTACAACAGGTAAAACTAGACAATCAGTTACAGCGATGACAATCAGATACAACAATGACAATCAGATACAACAGTGACAATCAGATAAAACAATGACAATCAGCTACAACAGGTTAAACAACTAGACAATCAGTTACAGTGATGACAATCAGTTACAACAATGACAATCAGTTACAATGGTGACAATCAGCTACAACAGGTTAAACTAGACAATCAGTTACAGCAATGACAATCAGATACAACAATGACAATCAGATACAACAGTGACAATCAGATACAACAGTGACAATCAGATACAACAGTGACAATCAGTTACAACAGTGACAATCAGTTACAACAGTGAAAATCAGCTACAACAGTGACAAACAGTTACAACAGTGACAATCAGCTACAACAGTGACAATTTGTTACAGAGGGTTACAATCTTAAGTAGCACTGCACACTTGGCAATGTATTCACATTTATGTTTTCTGAAAACAATCCAAAATATGCTTTATGTTTTATTTTAAGCCTACCTTAAGCGTGCTAAGACCAGGGGTTTCACACACAACAATCTGTTGATAAAATCAGGCCTAAATAAAGTACTCCAACATCAGGTTGTTTCAACCATAACCACCAAAATCTGACCTTAAATAAAATGTACAACATTAGCATGTTCGAGTGGTGTGGTAATTTGAACCAGGCCATTGTATGTAGGTTGATCTGTAGACAGCCATCGGTGCTGTGAATAACGGCCTTCACACACCAGGAAGTACAATGCCCTGACGCTGTTGTCATCGCGTTTACTTAGTCATGTTTACTAGAAGTCATTAGGAATATGAGGTGAAGAGTGATTTCCTACCTCGGCTCGTGGAGTGTGGTGGCGCTGTTTGTATATAGACTGAAAGCCAACTCAGCTGCACATTGCTACACTGATAGGTCATAAGGTGCATTCCTGGTTATGTCAATTTTAAAATTTGTTTGCTTTTCAAGTTTTTCTTTCTCTATACATCGGAAATACTGTTAATGCGCACCCTTTACTAAAATGAACACCCTTCTCCCATGGCCTGAAAAATGAGATTCTTAGCAAAAAAGTCAAACTTTTAATTATCTCTCAGCCCATCATTGATCTAAGTTAAAATGTAAAATACTTGATGATTTTGATAGTGGATGAAGTCTGGTGTGCCCCACTCACTCACTCACTCACTCACTCACTCACTCACTCACTCACTCACTCACTCACTCACTCAGGGGCGGTCGGGTAGCCTAGTGGTTAAAGCGTTCGAAGACTCGGGTTCAATTCCCAACATGGGTACAATGTGTGAAGCCCATTTCTGGTGTCCCCCGCCATGATATTGTTGGAATATTGCTAAAAGCGGCGTAAAACCATACTCACTCACTCACTCACGCACTAACGCACTCATTCACTCTCACTCACTCACTCACTCACTCACTCACTCACTCACTCACTCACTCACTCACATTTTCATGTCAACATGCACCTGGTGCCAATTAGTTCCTTCAATCAAGCTCTGTGTGTATGTCCGACTACAACCTGATTATTGTTTACTGTAAACATTGTTTATGTACCTGTCTATGTGATATACAGGGGTATATGTAGACAACTAGTCCGTGAAGATTGATACTAGTGTCAGGAACTGTGAAGATCCAGGTTAGAATTTGTCTTCAGCGACCCATGCTTGTCGTAAGAGGCGACTAATGGGTTTTCGGATGGTCAGGTTCGCTGACTTGGTAAATGCACGTCATCGTATCCCATGAGACCCAAGTTGTTAATTTGAAACCAGAAATGGTGGAATGAGACAAAATTGCTGAATTGACCGAAATGGTTGACAGTGTCCCAGTTTTGTTTATTGTTTAACGCGGGGGCACGGGTGGCCCAGTCGTCTAAGGCGCCGCGGTTCGCTGTGCAGAGTTGCGTCCCTTGGGCACGCCAGAAACCTATGATTGTGGGTTCGAATCCCGGTTCGCCCCGATTATGTTTTTAGGTTTGTCAGCACCATACCCGTGCTCGTGGGTTTCACCGAAGTGGTTAACGTCTGAGACCTTAACGTGTTAAACCCAACTCACTCACTCACTATTGTTTAACGGGGCACTCAGCAATATTGCAGCTTCATGAGAGCGGTCTAGATTTAGAATTTAGGGTAATAATCATGAAATTGTATGTGTTGCTTTTTATTTTGACCTTGACCCTCTTACCTTTCAGTTGACCACACAAGGGTGTTATTGAAGGACTGTGACCCCAACGTCGTGGGAGCTGACTACATCAATGCTAATCTAATCACAGTGAGTTGTATTGGCTGCTTCATAACCTCAACTTCCTTGGGCTTTCCTCACACGTCAAGCTGACACATCAAGCTGACACATCAAGCTGACACATCAAGCTAGCACATCAAGCTGACACATCAAGCTGACACATTAAACTGACACATCAAGCTGACACATTAAACTGACACGTCAAGCTGACACATCAAGCTGACACATCAAGCTGACACGTCAAGCTAGCACATCAAGCTGACACTTCAAGCTGACACATCAAGCTGACACATCAAGCTGACACTTCAAGCTGACACATCAAGCTGACACGTCAAGCTGACACGTCAAGCTGACACTTCAAGCTGACACGTCAAGCTGACACGTCAAGCTAGCACGTCAAGCTAGCACGTCAAGCTCACACATCAAGCTGACACATCAAGCTGACACATCAAGCTAGCACATCAAGCTGACACGTCAAGCTGACACGTCAAGCTGACACGTCAAGCTGGCACGTCAAGCTGACACATCAAGCTGACACATCAAGCTGGCACATCAAGCTGGCACATCAAGCTGACACATCAAGCTAGCACATCAAGCTAGCACGTCAAGCTGACACGTCAAGCTGACACGTCAAGCTGGCACGTCAAGCTGACACGTCAAGCTGACACATCAAGCTAGCACATCAAGCTGACACATCAAGCTGACACGTCAAGCTGGCACATCAAGCTAGCACATCATGCCCTAACTGAAATAATGTTCAAGGCGGAGGAAAATCATTTCACTCACTCACTCACTCACTCTCTACAGGGCTGTGGGTGGCAGCGGTAGAACCTTACAGTTTAAGCCCACTAGTCCTTATAATGACATCTTCTCCGTGGTCTAGTGGCAGAGTGCCCAGTCGGGGAGAGCAGAAGGTACGGGGTTCAATCCCCGGCCGCGTCATACCAAAAGACATTCAAAGATGGTACTTGTTGTTACCCTGTCTAGCGCTCGGCATGAAGTGGCTAAAACAAGGACAGGTCGGCTTGGAGTCAGTATACTGTGTCTGAGTGGGGTATTCATGTTAAACTGCGGCATGGTATCTCAGTGGGCTAGCACTATAAAATCGGCATCAGTCCGGACTAGTACAAGCAGCCACACACACACACTAGAACACTAACACACATGTGCGTGCACGTCACTATATAAGTGTAATAATCTTAGGATGTGACGTTTATCGTCATTTCACCTCACCTTATAATGATAAAAAATAGCCAAGCCCTTAAAAAGGGCAAATTTCTACTAGTCCTTATAATATTTTCATTATTGGGCAGTTTGTCCAGACTATAGGACGCGTGCCAATTTCTACCACTGGATGGTGTGTAGTCAGTTGATCTATTATGTGTTGTTTCCCATGATGAATAAATGTCAGACATATTTGTTTGATGCTTCGAATAAAGTGACACACAACAGCAAGGCAAACCCCCTGTTACTTTAGCAAGACAGCTAATAATGGCGGCTTAACAACTTCGAACCCATAACTAAGGAATTAGCTTGTGCACATCCAGAGCTCCAGGTAAGCTGCGTATCTGTGTGAAATACGCATCAGAAATGCAGAAATACGCAATAAAATATAATCCAAGCGTATCAAATACGCAACGAACATTACAGATACGCTACAAAAATAAAACTTGTCCGTATCATCAAAATATTGTGAAATAACCCTGCGTATTCGATTAGCAAATCAGCAACTTATCTTGAAATTATAACCGGGCATTCCGTCAACCTTGCCAAACTCCACGATGACAGTTACATCATGATCATTTGCCATCACACTTTCTTGTGGAAGTATCGTGGTATTTTTAAGTCCTATAAAGCTCTCGAACCCACACGGCACCAGTTTGCAGGGACTAGATGAATAGTGTTTTTAAATATTTAACTTAAATACCCACATGTGTAAAAACTAGTGGGTAACTGAAATTTGAATACGCAGATAGAATTACTGATTCCCAATTATTTTAAAATGCAAGGGTAAAATACCCACAACACCAAAAGCTTATCTGGAGCTCTGCACATCCCTTACCAAAATGGTGAACGGTATCGGGTATACTGCTGTCTAGCCCCATGTTTTGTTGGTGGAAGGTATCGGGTATACTGCTGTCTAGCCCCGTGTTTTGTTGGCAGAAGGTGTCGGGTATACTGCTGTCTAGCCCCATGTTTTGTTGGCTGAAGGTGTCGGGTATACTGCTGTCTAGCCCCATGTTTTGTTGGTGGAAGGTGTCGGGTATACTGCTGTCTAGCCCCATGTTTTGTTGGTGGAAGGTGTCGGGTATACTGCTGTCTAGCCCCATGTTTTGTTGGTGGAAGGTGTCAGGTATACTGCTGCCTAGCTCCATGTTTTGTTGGTGGAAGGTGTCGGGTATACTGCTGTCTAGCCCCATGTTTTGTTGGTGGAAGGTGTCGGGTATACTGCTGTCTAGCCCCATGTTTTGTTGGCCGAAGGTGTCGGGTATACTGCTGTCTAGCCCCATGTTTTGTTGGCGGAAGGTGTCGGTGATACTGCTATCTAGCCCCATGTTTTGTTGGTGGAAGGTGTCGGGTATATTGCTGTCTAGCGCCATGTTTTGTTGGTGGAAGGTGTCGGGTATACTGTTGTCTAGCGCCATGTCTTGTTGGTGGAAGGTGTCGGGTATACTGCTGTCTAGCCCCATGTTTTGTTGGTGGAAGGTGTCAGGTATACTGTTGTCTAGCCCCATGTTTTGTTGGTGGAAGGTGCCGGGTATACTGCTGTCTAGCCCCATGTTTTGTTGGTGGAAGGTGTCGGGTATACTGCTGTCTAGCGCCATGTTTTGTTGGCGGAAGGTGTCAGGTATACTGCTGTCTAGCCCCATGTTTTGTTGGCGGAAGGTGTCGGGTATACTGCTATCTAGCCCCATGTTTTGTTGGTGGAAGGTGTCGGGTATATTGCTGTCTAGCGCCATGTTTTGTTGGTGGAAGGTGTCGGGTATACTGTTGTCTAGCGCCATGTCTTGTTGGTGGAAGGTGTCGGGTATACTGCTGTCTAGCCCCATGTTTTGTTGGTGGAAGGTGTCAGGTATACTGTTGTCTAGCCCCATGTTTTGTTGGTGGAAGGTGCCGGGTATACTGCTGTCTAGCCCCATGTTTTGTTGGTGGAAGGTGTCGGGTATACTGCTGTCTAGCGCCATGTTTTGTTGGCGGAAGGTGTCAGGTATTCTGCTGTCTAGCCCCATGTTTTGTTGGCGGAAGGTGTCGGGTATACTGCTGTCTAGCTCCATGTTTTGTTGGTGGAAGGTGTCAGGTATTCTGCTGTCTAGCCCCATGTTTTTTTGGTGGAAGGTGTCGGGTATACTGCTGTCTAGCCCCATGTTTTGTTGGTGGAAGGTGTCAGGTATAACGCTGTCTAGCTCCATGTTTTGTTGGTGGAAGGTGTCAGGTATTCTGCTGTCTAGCTCCAAGTTTTGTTGGTGGAAGGTGTCGGGTATACTGCTGTCTAGCCCCATGTTTTGTTGTTGGAAGGTGTTGGGTATACTGCTGTATAGCCCCATGTTTTGTTGGCGGAAGGTGTCGGGTATACTGCTGTCTAGCTCCATGTTTTGTTGGTGGAAGGTGTCAGGTATTCTGCTGTCTAGCCCAATGTTTTGTTGGCGGAAGGTGTCGGGTATACTGCTGTCTAGCTCCATGTTTTGTTGGCAGAAGGTGCCGGGTATTCTGCTGTCTAGCCCCATGTTTTTTTGGTGGAAGGTGTCGGGTATACTGCTGTCTAGCCCCATGTTTTGTTGGCGGAAGGTGTCAGGTAAACCGCTGTCTAGCCCCATGTTTTGTTGGCGGAAGGTGTCGGGTATACTGCTGTCTAGCCCCATGTTTTGTTGGCGGAAGGTGTCGGGTATGCTGCTGTCTAGCTCCATGTTTTGTTGGTGGAAGGTGTCGGGTATACTGCTGTCTACCCCCATGTTTTGTTGGCGGAATATATCAGGTGTACTGCTGTCGAGCCCCATGTTTTGTTGGTGGAAGGTGTCAGGTATACTGTTGTCTAGCCCCATGTTTTGTTGGCGGAAGGTATCAGGTATACTGCTATCTAGCTCCGTGTTTTGTTGGCAGAAGGTGTCAGGTATACTGCAGTCTAGCCCCGTGTTTTGTTGGTGGAAGGTGTCGGGTGTTCTGCTGTCTTGCCCCATGTTTTGTTGGCGGAATGTGTCGGGTATACTGCTGTCTAGCCCCATGTTTTGTTGTTGGAAGGTGTCGGGTATACTGCTGTCTAGCCCCATGTTTTGTTGGCGGAAGGTATCAGGTATACTGCTGTCTAGCCCCATGTTTTGTTGGCGGAAGGTGTCAGGTATACTGCTGTCTAGCCCCATGTTTTGTTGGCGGAAGGTGTCAGGTATACTGCTGTCTAGCCCCATATTTTGTTTTGCAGGCTGAGGAGGACAGCCTGGAGCCGAAGAAGACGTACATTGCCACCCAGGGATGTCTCCCCCACACAGTCGCTGACCTCTGGCGAATGGTCTGGCAGGAAAACTCTCGGGTCATTGTCATGACAACCAAAGAAGTTGAAAGGGGAAAGGTGAGACATTGTTTGAATTTTATAATTTGTACTTTAATTTGACACTCTTTCGTTATTTTTAATTTTTTTATTTCAGAATTAGACCATGCCTAATGTTTTTCACTGCTTAGTCAATATACCAAAATACCGAAGGTGACATAAAATCATTGTCAGGAACCAAGAATACAAGCAAAGAGAAGCTCAAAATAGATGTGTCTTCACAAGACCACAACATTATATTTGTTCTACTTCTGGAAAATTTATGACAGGCCCATCCAAGAAAAAACATTTTACTTGACCTTTAGAAGTAGTTTTTAGGGCAATACTCCCTTTAACACTCTTCAAATTTGTTTCATGTGTGAAGTTGAGAGAAATGTTCAAACAATCTTTATCATTGTTGTTGTAATATTGAAATTGTTGTCATTTTATCATGTCAGAGCACCAGGTAACTTTTTGAGCAATTGAGTTTTTACTCGAAGTTTTCTATTTTAATGGGGTTATTACATTTTTCATTGGGTAACCAATATTTTTTCGCTCATCTGTTCATCACGCTTTTGGGTTTTTCCCAAAATGAGTAAGCATTTTGAGATTTGAAAAAAATGAAATAATGTTTTAGATTTATATAACAGTCCTAAATATAGGCTTGACTCTGAAAGTAAATTAGCTCGTAATTGTGTTTTGGAAATTAATCCGTTTTACACATGCTGAAAAAACTTTATTGGGTATTTACACGTGCTGTTCTCAAACAATTGCGTTTTCCATTTAATGCATGCATTTCTGTACGCAAATCAATTGAAAGTAATTGGATTTTGAATAGTTTTGGGTGGCATGTTACGCAAATACGCAGCTTATCTGTAGCTCGGCATGTGTTTGTAGAGATGAGTGTTACAGCATATGTTTATGATATGCTACTCAAAAGAAGTAAGGGACCTGATTCTTTCATATTACAGGCATGAAAGATTAGCTACAGTAATATGAAAACAATTAGGTGGTCCCTAACTTCTTGTGAGTAGTATATATGCAAAATTCATATTTATTGATACTGTCATGTGTTTATTTCAGAACAAGGCTGTGCGATACTGGTCCGATAACTCTGAAAAAGAGCTTGTGAAACCCACGCCAAACGGCTGTGTCAAGGTGAAAGTAATAAGCGAGGTCACTGAGACCGATTACATCACAAGAGAATTGGAGGTCAGGATGGTCGTGGAGGGACAGGTCAGTACAAATGTCAAGGTTAATGTCAAAAGGTGAAGGTTATGACTCAGACGTCAAGGTTATTGTCAAAAGGTGAAGGTTATGACTCAGACATCAAGGTTATTGTCAAAGGGTGAGGATATAGTCACAGGTTCAGGAAGTAGGCCAAGGTTAATGTGAAAGGTCAAGGTAATAGTCAGAGGTTAAGGTTATGGTCAAAGGTTGAAGTTTAGTGAGTATCATATTGCAACAGAAAGTCCAAAGACTGGTCGATAATTACAAGTGGATAAACTATTAAAATAAATGGATACTGTCACAAAATAAGAGATCTGAGAAGAGGTTTAGCGAACAAGGATCTACAAAATTATGAATGTCGAAACTAGCGAATTGCAGAAAGATCACAGAACAAGAAGGTAAAGTTCAATAACAAGTTTATTAATTAATCACTGAAAAAATCTGTACACTGTCTCGAGATCGTGAGACACGATACTGGCAGTCACAACCGTACTGGAGGCATCATTCGCTCGGCATTGTCTGTCACACTGTGGCTCTAGAATCCGGTACTTGTCTGTATCCCTCCAATGATTGATAGATCTGGTCAGGGAAGTAATAAATCCGCATTTGAACAGATACTAGTACCTGGATACCTGCAGTATATAATGTATATTATTATTATTATTATTATTATTATTATTATTATTATCATAATCATCATCATAATTCAGGTATCAATGAATATTGTATTCTGGCTAGTAATTTAACAAATAAGCAAACTGCCTGTTTGGCAGTGATATATGTATCCATATATACACACCACCCCAACCCCTTTTATTTTAACATATTATTCATTTAATTCAGTGAGTGATGTATGCGGTGTAAAGCATTACAACACTTTAAGTAACTCTTATGTTGTTCTGTACCAGGAATCGGAGCCCCGTCAGATCTACCAGTATCACTTCCAGACCTGGCCAGACTACGGCGTTCCCGGCGACCCCGGCAGCGTTCTCAACTTCCTCCATGTTGTAAACGCCAGACAAGACATGATTGACGACAAAGCTGGGCCCATCATCGTCCACTGCAGGTGAGTTGTGGGCTGCAAGCGAACGCTCAATCACAGAGTTATCTCCCTTTGGGATGAGCGCCTGGAAAGGACACTACATACATCCATTACCTGTGAATATATACGGACACTTTGCAGTGTAGTCACTATTTTCAACCACTCCGTCAAGCCTCTGAATGGTACCAGTGACAGAGAAACCAATGAGTGCTCTAATAAGATCGGCGCGGTCGGGTAGCCCAGTGGTTAAAGCGTTCGCTCGTCACGCCGAAGAGCCGGGTTCGATTCCCGACATGGGTACAATGTGTGAAGCCCATTTCCACCCTGATATTGCTGGAATATAGCTAAAAGCGGCGTAAAACCATACTCACTCACTCACTCACTCACTCACTCACTCACTCACTCACTCTAATAAGATCATAAACGTTTATATTTCTCAGGCAATGTGCCACAAGTTTGCTGCCATCTACTCGATGAATTGCTCAAATTTGAGGCGACAGTACCCTTATTCTTAGTTCGACATTATTTCATTGAAAGCAATGTAAAGTCCAATGTTGAAATACCTAGGAAAATAGAAACCTTTAAGAAATCTGATTTAAAACAAAACAATGATTTTTCCCATTAGACTGCATCGTCACTTCGTTTACTATCCCAGATAAATACTTAGGCTCCGTTCCACAAGGTTGTCGTCGCGCAACGACAGTCGTAAGTCTATGTAAAAGCATGTGAGTTACGATAACTTGGCGCTACGATCGCTTTGTGGAACGGACCCCTGACTCGGGAGTCCAGTGTGTCGTATGTCTTCATCCAATCATATGACCATGAGTGTGAGAAGAGGACCGTGACAATGGGTGTGATCTGTTTCAGTGCCGGCATCGGGAGGACTGGCACGTTCATAGTGATAGACATCATACTCAACCAGATCAAGATGCATGGTGAGATCTTTTAGAAACAGTGCGGTGGGGTAGCCTAGTGGTTAAAACGTTTGCTTGTCACACGGAAGACCCGGGTTCGATTCCCCACATGGGGACAATGTGTGAAGCCCATTTCTGGTTTTCCCCCACTGTAAAATTGCTGGAATATTTCTGAAAGTGGTATAAAACCCTACTCACTCACTCACTCACTTTTAGAAACAATGTTTTATCTAATCTTCTTTTGTGTTCATTCCATACCTGTGTGAAGATCCGGGGTAGAATAGGTCTTCAGCAACCCATGCTTGCCGTAAAAGGCGACTATGCTTGTCGTAAGAGGCGACTAACTGAATCGGTGGTCAGGCTCGCTGACTTGGTTGATGCATGTCATCAATCCCAATTGCGTGGATCGATGCTCATGATGTCAATCACTGGATTGTCTGGTCCAGACTCAATTATTTACAGACCGCCGTCATATAGCTGGAATATTGCTGAGTGCGGCGTATAACAACAAACAAACTAGTCCTCTGAACTAATTTTATGAACAAATTTCTAAGGCTGCTTAAGAGTGTTGATTGTAAATTGAAGTTGAAAGTTGAAATGGCAGTGAAATGTTTTCTTTGTCCACCAGGTTTTGACTGCGACATTGACATTCAGAAGACGATACAGATGGTGAGGTCACAGAGGTCAGGCATGGTTCAGACGGAGGCTCAGTACAAGTTCGTCTACATGGCTGTATGGCATTACATGGAGACGGAGAGACAGCGATGGCAGGCGGAGCAGGTACACCCACTGTTGTGGCCAGGGGGGCGGTCGGGTAGCCTAGTGGTTAAAGCGTTCGCTTGTCACGCCGAAGGCCCGGGTTCGATTCCGGACATGGGTAAAATGTGTGAAGCCCGGTTGTGGTGTACCCCACCGTGATATTGCTGGAATATTGCTAAAAGCGGCGTAAAACCAAACTCACTCACTTGTGGCCAAGAGGATGATGTCACTGCTATATACTATGTTAGTCTGGACACCCAAATCATATACCTACATATAAAATGATTCCAGGGAAGAATTTCAGTTAGGACTATTCTTTAACCCACCCACAGAACCACACCCCCCAATGTTATGCATGTTACTACTTCTGATAATAAGTTTTTAATTGAATGTTGAAAGTTTATCGTTCTTCATAAACTCTACAATCTACATCTACTCTACAATGTAACAATATATGTACATTGGGGGTATATTTTTTCATGGAACACACATTACAGCCAGGAATGTTATGTTTTCAGAAAAGCCAGATGGCGGGGAGAGACTACACCAACATTAAATACGCCACGGGATCTGAGAACATGGCGCGTGCACGTAACTCCATCCCCGCTAACTCCCTTCCGCCTCAAATTGCCAATACACGACTTCAAGATAAAAAAGTTCCCAGGTGAGTGATGTTCCCTTGCTACAATGTTAAACAATACAAAAAATAACATAATATGGTATATATACTCACTGACAAAAGAAACGCAAATACCACCCATGTTGGTTAAGATATGAAGAATTACTCATATTCGAGCGATATTAGATTGGTTCGATGCACAAACGAACATACTGGTATGTTGTGTGAACCGAAGCTCAGCTCATGAACGCATCACATGACGTCATAGATCCATGACTCGAGATGCACCATTTGTCTCGTGCAGGATTAGCGTGTAAAGTTTGGAAATCACGTGCGGCATATCGTGGTAAGAATAAAGACACTGTGGTAATACTTGATTGAGTGTTAGTTTTGTCATGAAGTGGTACTCATTGGAAACATCTCTTCTTAAAGAACATACATCTCTGTATGTTTCTGACCCGTGAAGATCCGGGGTAGAATAGGTCTTCAGCAACCCATGCTTGCCGTAAAAGCCGACTATGCTTGTCGGAAAAGGCGTCTAACGGGATCGGGTGGTCAGGCTCGCTGACTTGGTTGATACATGTCATCGATCCCAATTGCGTGGATAGATGCTCATGATATCAATCACTGGATTGTCTGGTCCAGACTCGATTATTTACAGACCGCCGTCATATAGCTGGAATATTGCTGAGTGTGGCGTTAAACAACAAACCAACCAACCAACTGTATGTTTCTATGGGTCACGTTTCTTTTAGTGGTGAGTATATTCCTTTACTCAATATACCGGAACACAGAAAAAATATGATAATATGTATTGTTTGAAAAGCTTATTGCAGTGTACCGGTAATTCCGTAAATCCTGTAAATTGTGTTTCAGGGCTCCACCAGACGATGCCAACAAAGTGTACCAAAATATCAGCACAATTGACACTGGCAAGTCTGGGAAGAGATGAGATATGCTGTCTTAGCTCGTCTCTGTGTCTCATGTTGCTGCGCTCACCTTTTGCGATTTCCATGGTAACCATGCACGTTGCTTTCATCTTGCGTTACCTTCAAAACTGAGACTCGTTTTCAAGTCCTGAAGACTCAACAGTGATTGTGTCCAATAGGAAACTATTCAATAATAGTATTGTTGATGAAGTGCTAATAATATGGCATCACATATTTCTGTCTTTCATGGCTCATGCCTGGAGCATGAGATGAAAGGTCAAGGCCATTGTGGTCAAGGCCATTGGTGATCAGGGTCACTGAAGGTCAAGGCCATTGGTGGTCAAGGTCATTGGTGGTCAAAGTCATTGTTGATCAGGGTCACCGAAGGTCAAGGCCATTGGTGGTCAAGGTCATTGGTGGACAAGGCTATTGGTGGTCAAGGTCATTGTTGACGTCTGGTCATTAATTCATCTTTGTTTTATTTGTTATTGTTTTCCCTTGGTGTTTCCGTATGAAACTGATAAGGTTATGAATATGAAACTGTACATAGTTTGTCACCATCGCTTTCTGCGAAATTGTAAATATTCAGAGATGTTTTTGCCAGTGTTGAACACAGGAAGTGCACTCACCTGATGACACTACAAAGTTCAGATATACCTGTGATACCAACATATATGATGTTTGTGGAAGGCTGAAAAAATGAAATAGTTGGTTCTCAGGCATTGACATTCAAAATGAGACGGTCAGAAATCGGTACCAAGTGTCTATATTGTCTAATGGTATGATTTAGTCACCGTGCAATGATAACTTGTCGAAATTGTTTTTCCAGTGAAGCGCGAGTTGTCATTGGATTTTTTTAGTCAGAAATCCACCATGATATAGCATTATGTTTAGTTAATAATATGGTCAATTTTTCGTGACTGTTTAATCAATTGTAGACGTTGCAAAGCAAAGGATGTTTCACTATTATTGGCCATGCCTGAGAATCAAGTGTTGTTTTTAAGCCTAAAAAAAACAATAAACTAATAATTCTGTGATGCCAACATGTTTTAGAAGGTCAGTGTTTTTTGTCTCCAAAAAGTGCTGTTGTGTTGTCATTCATGAACTTTTATTGATACAATAATAATAATAATAATAATAATAATAATAATGAAAGATAATAATGAAAGATTATGTGGGCATTGTACAAACAATACGATTGGTTAAAAAATTTGGCTAAATTGGAATCTAACATTTCTGGTTATTCGTGGTGTATGGAAAGTGTGTTCTTGCTAAATATTATTTCATTTCTCTCCCAAAATCGAAAAAACTCCATTTATTCAGTTTTATTCTGTAGAAAATCTCACCTTTGCTTGATTTTTGCTCAGCATTCTACAAACTAGACAGTTTAGTTGTCACAGAAACATATGTAATTTTTTTGTATGTACAACTTTTGTATGTTCAATGTCTATAGACATGAGTTGTTTCAGATTGGAGGGTTTTAGTGAGTAATTTGAGCTGGGATAGTTGAAACATCCATCTAAAAGTGTCAGTCTCAAGTACAATTACTGTATAGGATATATTCCAAAACACCCTGAAAATCTGGTCATCGCATAACCTCAGAAAATCTGGTCATCCCCTAACCTCAAAGCTTTCCTTCAATTCTAAGAAAAAGGTGACAATTGTAACCATAGTAACTGTCTCATTGATAAGGGGGAGGTCGAGTGGCCTAGTGGTTAAAGCATTTGCTCGTCACGCTGAAGACCCGGGTTCAATTCCCGACATGGGTACAATGTGTGAAGCCCATTTCTGGTGTCCCCCACCGTGATATTGCTGGAATATTGCTCAAAGCAGTGTAAAAACAAACTCACTCACTCACTCACTGACTGAACAATCATCAGTTGCACAGGATCTCGCTAAAAAATCAACCAATCAAAATGGCTCATTTAACACAACAGATGAACATTCAAAATGGTCCGATGATGTATTTAATCAAATGAGAAGACTGTTATGAAGGTATTTACAGCAGGGAAGGGAAGTCATTATGCTTCAGTGAGTGAGTGAGTGAGTGCTTTTATATTTAAAGTCACATCGGCAATATTTCAGCCATATAGTGATACATCAAATTATACAATACAGAAATTTAGAATACAAACCTGTCGACAAAGGACAGTAAAAGACCTAGATTATTACAGATATAGGTTTAAAACTAGTAAATGACCATAAAATTGGACTACTCATAACAATACAATATAACAGTGGGCTATATATCACTGGCAACGAAAGGTAGGCCACCATCCTAGGGACCATGGGGACTTACAGTACCTTGGCTACCTGCATTGACCCCAGCAGGATTTACACCATCCCTATAGTCACTGGTGATTATAAAGAAGGTTAGCCAAAGATTAAAACAAACAAATATTCTACGATTAAAACCAATCTCATTCAAATCAGATCTTAGTTCTCGCTACCGCCAAACAAAGATCTGCGGACATCACATTAGGGGTCACGTCAGAATGACCTTTCATCCGACCAATCAGAGTGTCGCTTACCAGATCATGAAAGTGACTTCGGGATGTGAATTCTAATAATGCAACCTTGAAAACTTTAACACGGGGTATTCCGAACGATAGTTACGGGTTTCATGACTGAATCCATACAATCTAGACCATCTATTAGCCATTCCAGAATGTTCTTTTGTTCAGGTTTCAAATTTGTAATCGAGAATTATTCAAAATATGTTGGCAATTACTGGTCAAGAGGTTTTTATTTAATTCAGTGATCTAGATACAGATCTGCAAATGCATTTTTTGAATATCAGTGTTACTCAATAATGATGACAGTGTGTGTGAGTGTCGCCTATATCAGGCCAGGGGGCACGGCTGGCCCAGTCGTCTAAGGCGCCGTGATTCACTGTGCAGAGTTGCGTCCCTTAGGTACGCCAGAAACCTATGATTGTTTCATTCCAAAGCCTGTCGAAAATACTGCCATACAATCTCAGCCTTCTATTAGTCATGCCAGAATTTTCAAAGCGTAGTCTGTACTGGAAGCCACCAGTTTGAAACAAGTGCCGTAAAACTCGTGAAAGCTTCTTTTTCTTTGGGTTATGTCGGCTTCTTTTTAGTCATTTCATTGGTCGTCAAAATTTGCGAAAGGTCGAACTGACATGACCTGTTATGGGATATCCTCAGGTCTAGTGTAAGGGTAGCGAGAACTAAGATCTGATTTTTATGAGATTGAAATTGGGTCAGAATGTAGTGTATTTAGAATTCTTTCAGTAAAATCTTGACACAACACAACATGCCGATGATATTTAAAAAACTAACTAGTAAGAAGTCATGTTATTTTTAACCAAGATACAATATGTATGAGTAAGCCCAATGTCAAGATTGTTTTTTGTGTTTTCCGGTTTCATGTTGTGTCGTGTTTGTGGTGTACCCCGTGGTATGTTGTGTCGTGTTCGTGGTGTACCCCGGGGTATGTTGTGTCGTGTTCGTGGTGTACCCCGGGGTATGTTGTGTCGTGTTCATGGTGTACCCCGGGGTATGTTGTGTCGTGTTCATGGTGTACCCCGGGGTATGTTGTGTCGTGTTCGTGGTGTACCCCGGGGTATGTTGTGTCGTGTTCGTGGTGTACCCCGGGGTATGTTGTGTCGTGTTCATGGTGTACCCCGGGTTATGTTGTGTCGTGTTCGTGGTGTACCCCGGGTATGTTGTGTCGTGTTCGTGGTGTACCCCGGGGTATGTTGTGTCGTGTTCATGGTGTACCCCGGGGTATGTTGTGTCGTGTTCGTGGTGTACCCCGGGGTATGTTGTGGCCATATCTTATCGCCTGTTTGCTTGGTAAGGCTTAAAAAAATAATAGTCTTGGTTCTCAGGCACCGCCCGCTTCATCACAAAGTCGGCAATATGTTTTGTTTTTATTTCCATTTTCAAAAAAATATAAAAAACCTTATACTTAAAAAGCAATGCGATCCAATACGGCACACAGTTACTTCCCTTGACGTGTGCACTGCTTTACTGCACGTCTCGTGTTATGGTCATGGCGGCAATTGGAGTTTGTATGCTTGTTTGTGTAGGGAGGCCCTTTCCCAGGTTGATGGAACACAATTGGTTTGGTAACATACTAGTTTGAACAAGCAAAAACACAAATAACCGCCCACCCGCACTATATTTTTAAAAGTCATTGCCTGAGAACCCATTCTTTTATTTTTTTAAGCCTTATTCTGTATATTTTCTCTTGTTTTTTGTTACATTTTCCTTCCAAGACTTTGGTATTAAGTTCAGCTTTAGTATTTATTCTAGTTAATTTCCTTATTTGTAGTCTTTATAGTTAAGGATGTCTGCTGGTTTTTAGAGTATTTAATTTCTGAGATGTATGTTTCTAAAATCTCCCCGCCGTGATATTGCTGGAATATTGCCTAAAGCGACGTAAAACCATACTGACTCACTCACTCACTCTAATATCTCTTCTTTTATATTTCTAACTGTTCAAATGAAAAAGGATGAGGTTAGTGTCCCTTTTAATACGCTAGGTGCACAAACAACCGTGTCAAATCCTCACTTAACTGCAGGAGGGGCGGTCGGGTAGCCTAGTGGTTAAAGCGTTCGCTCGTCACGCCGAAGACCCGGGTTCGATTCCCGACATGGGTACAATGTGTGAAGCCCATTTCTGGTGTCCCCCGCCGTGATATTGCTGGAATATTGCTAAAAGCGGCGTAAAACCATACTCACTCACTCACTTAACTGTAGGAAAATTGTTGACCATTATTAGTTTTAAAAAGAGTACGGTACTATTAAAAGTATTTAACTTTTTGAAATATTTTAATCAAATATGGATACATTTATCTGTAAAACATTTATCTGTATCATTATATTGATGTGTATTTGTTTTGCAAATTAATAAAATGCCACATATACATATTCCTCTAAAATACACCAACATGAACAACAGTGCTTTGACTTAATGACTACCGTAATGTTCTTAGGTCGTACGGATGGCTCGGTTGTCTAAGGCACCACAATTCGCTATGCAGAGCACGCCAGAAACCTATGATTGTGGGTTCAAATTCTGGTTCCCTGATTATGTTTCTAGGTTTGTCAGCACCATACCCGTGCTCGTGGGTTTCACCAAGGTGGTAAACGTCTGAGACCTGCATCACTTCGGGCTTTCCTCCCACATTAAGCTGACACGCCGTCATACGCCGTTCTCAACTTCACTGCTTCATATCGGTGATAAATTGATTTACATTATGTTGTAAGAAACACTACCGTACACGACACGTTGTGCAGTGATTACAAAATAATACCTGCAGACATCCTTAAAAACCCCATGATGAATATTGTTCGTGTTTCAACTTTTTGTAAGGTCAGATCAATTTAATTTCATATTTTGCAGATCTTGGTCAATTTGCTTAGACACAGGAGCAAAGTAAAAAAAAAATATCTTCTTTTTTAAAAATTTAGAGTAAGCTCACCTGTTAAATACAGAAATTACAATTGGTCTGGCCCAAGCTAAGAATGGTGTGATGATAGATCTAAGGCACATTTATCGACCGAGTATTTTGGTCGGTTCTAAGAACCTGACCCTTAGTACTTAGGTTTGGTTCTGAAGGAGAAAAAGGTCCTTCAAAGCAAGAAAGTCGATGTGTTTATATGAAGAGTTTAAATGTTTGGTAAAGTCGTGGTGTTCCACACACATGGATGATTGTGTACTGTATTTCCTCTATTAGACGCTGGGCCTCTAATAGAAGCCGGGTCAATTGTTCAGTGCAAAAAATAGAAGCCGGGCCTCTAATAGACGGATATCTATGAAAACAAAATATTTCCATTTCGTGACGGTTCGGGACATTCGTGGTCATAGTGAAATGGGGGTATTAATAGAAGCCGGGTCAAAGGCTTGTCCGAAATAAATAGAAGCCTGGGCGTCTAAAAGAGGAAATACGGTATGTACTGTATATATCGAAGTCCTGAGTTTCATGATCTATCTTGTACCATGGTGTCACGGCATTGTCACACAACAGGGATCATCTCAAAAGTGGTTCTGTCATTATTTCTTTAATATGCTGGGAGATCAAAAGAAATGTTACAATACGGAATTTTCTGCTCCGTTCGGTGATCGCGTGGCAAAGGTCGCGCTAAAGGACAAACTCATAGTCGACATATTTATACATGTGTATGTAACCACAGTTCATATGTCATGTGACATCTTGATAAGTATACAACGTCTACATCCCCCGAGTAACAACTGGTTACAGAAAATGGGAGTCAAGCGATGGGAACGTGTTGCAATGTCACCACCCAGATGGCTTGTCCTGTGACTAGAAAGATTAGTGGGAGACCTCTACTGCTCATACTATCAATCACTGGATTGTCTGGTCCAGACTCGATTATTTACAGGCTGTCATCAAATAGCTGTAGTACTGAAAGGGTCATTCAACATTAAAGTGGAAAAAAACCCCAGAATATTTTCAGTCAAAAACAGTATTTTTTATTTTATTATATTTATTTATATTTTAGCATAGGTTTGCCTATAAGACAATAAATTAATCTGGTATTACTGGATTTGAAATTTGTAAATTTTGTAAATAGGAACCATTGGAAAATTGGAACAAAATAAAGACGGAGTTGGGACTGGGAAGTCCATTTCCAGTCTTGACATAGTAATAAGTGTCATTTGTGACATTTTACATTATCTCATTATTTATAAGAATAATGCCAGGCTGCTAAACATATGAGGTATGTTATCACACAAAGTCGTGTCTACCTTAAATCAGACTTGCCAGGATCCAGTTATCCAAGCTAAGTGCACCCTTAGAACACCTGCTAGAATGTTTTATTATTAGCACTGATTATGTTTCTGGGTTTCTCAGCACCTACCGTGCTTGTGTGTTCCATCGAAGAGGGAATTGTCCAACACCTGCGTCACTTCGGGCTTTCCTCCCACATCAAGCCGACACACAATGATATACCGTATTCGACGTAATAAACGCCCCGCTCTAACAAGCGCTCACAAGTGAACAATCCCAATTAGCACCCTTCCGATTGATCCATGTACACAAGACTTATTTATTCGCGTATAATACACACCTGTGTGTTATATGCACCCTTAATTATGGGCAATTAAATTCTGGAAAAATATATCTGTCGTATGTAAACAGTTCAGGCCAGCATAAACCACGAAATTTATCTTTCAACTGTTTTTTCCACCAAAATAATATTCCAATAAGAGCCCCGTTTTTCTAATTTTGAGAGCGCCCTGGGCGCTTATTACGTCGAATACGGTAACTGAATAATGTTCAAAGCAGTGTTAAGCTCAACTCACTTACTCGCTATTTTTTTTATAAATGTTTGAGATGATCCCTACATCCGAGCAGTTTTTTGGAGCTGATGAAAAAATGTTTACCTACATAATGTTATTTTGATTATTTTGTATATTTGAAATCACAAATAGTAATGTACTCAACCTAATTTATTCTTGGAAGAACTTCAGTCATTTTTGTATTTATAAAGCTTCCACATTTAACATGTTTGGTAGAATGGAAGATCAGACCTGATTAGGCGCCATCGGTACATGTGACCTTCGTGACAGCTGTTTAGCTTATCTTCTACAATATCTTTTTCACCTTGGTTTGAACATTTTCAATTTATTCTATATGTATTGTTGAATATTTGTATCTATATTTTAGGGCTGGGACGATGCGCCAAATGTTGACCCGATGCGTATCACAATACCTTGTTCATCTAAAGCGTCGCGATTCGCTATTCAGAGTTGCGTCCCTTGGGCGCGCCAGAAACCTATGATTGCAGGTTCGAACCCCGGTTCGCCCCGATTATGTTTCTAGGTTTGTCAGCACAATGCCCATATGGGTTTCACCAAAGTGGTAAACGTCTGAGAGCTGCATCACTTCTGGCTTTCCTCCCACAGCTGACACCACCGTCATATAACTGGAATACTGTTAAAAACGGTGTTAAACCCAACTCACTCACTCACCTGATTGCTTTAAGGTCTAGACAGCCTCCGTGGGTCTAGTGGTAGAGCGTCCGCCCGGAGAGCGGAAGGTCCGGGGTTCGATCCCAGACCGCGTCATACAAAAAGACGTTAAAAGATGGTACTTGTTACCCTGTCTGGCGCTTGGCATTAAGGGGCTAAAACAAGGACTGGTCGGCTCGGAGTTAGTATACTGTGTCTGAGTGGGATATTCATGTTAAACTGCGGCATGGTATCTCAGTGAGCTAGCACTATAAATCGGCATCAGTCCGGACTAGTACAAGCAGCCACACACACAAACACACACACACACACACACACACTCACGTCGCTATATAAGTGCAATAGTCTTGGACTCACCAGCACCTTTAAGGTCTACATATTTTCAGGACACATTGCAAGCTTGAGGATTATTGAAGCAACACAATCAATGTTGACGTAGAACCAAAGAGGTATTTAATGTTATGAACAAACAAGCTGGTTTCTGGAGACACCCTTCTTTTATGGTGTTGTGGGGGTTCGGGGTAGGAATTCTCTGCAGCCTCTGCGACCATCAAGAGACAACTTGGAAGATCAGATGGTCAGACTCACTGACTGGTTGATTGCGTGTCATCATATCCCAAACGTGTGGATTGTTGCTCATAACATCAATCACTGGATTGTCTGATCCAGACTTGATTATTTACAGGCTGTCATCAAACAGCTGAAGTAGTACTGAAAGGGTCATTACACTTTAAGGTGAAAAAAAACCCTGCATATTTTCAGTCAAAAACAGTATTTTTTATTTTATTATATTTATTTAAATTTTAGCATAGGCTTGCCTAAGACAATAAATCAAATTGGTATTACCAGATGTGAAATTTGACAGAAATATCTAATGATTGACAGTAACAGCAACTATCGAAATGCTGTTGGTTGATGTTTCAAGCAGGTGAGCTACAGTGCTTATCAGTATTGTTCCCGCGAGATGGGGATGGGGTTGGGTGAAGGATTAAGGCCTAGGAGAGTAAGTAAATCAAGTTAACCAGACGATGTTGGATTCAACAAATTTGTTTTGAAATGAGTTGACCTTTGTAGAAAATAGGTAATTTAAACATTGCTGCTATCAATAATATTTATATGGTTTCCTTGGGAGGGTCAAGAAAAGAAACAAACACATAGGGAAGTGTCACAAAAAGTGACGGCCATCTTGTTTGAAGGTGAAGGTTAAGGATGATGGAGTGATCAATGTCAAGGTCAAGGTCTTGATGCAAAGCTTAGAAGGGGAACTTAGTTTTCTGTGATACTGAACTAGTGGCCCATACATTCCACTAGCCCATTGAAACTATTACTAGCCACTGGCTAGCTGACAACAGTAATTGTTGAAGGGAAGTCTAGAGTTTGTCATCAATAATGAATGTGATCAATGTAAAACTAAATTTGCATACACCATCAAATTTGAACAAGCAGACCAGGAACATGAAGAGAGACATGTACCCACTAAGCTGGGACTGCCAGTTGGCTGAGCGAAGTCCCCCTTTAAGGCTGTGTCTGATGGTGGAGTGGTCTTTCTAGTGTTCCCTATTATTAGATCCAGAGGGGTATCCCTCGCCCCTCCTTTTCAAGCATGCTCACAATGCTGACGTTTTGAAAAAAAACCATTTGGTGATATGTTTACATAAAAAATAACAATTATTTGACAAATATTTGGCTTAATAAATGTACAAGGCCGTAGTTAACTTTTTAAGACGGGGGTGGGGGGGGCAAATATTTGTACAAGTATCACTTGTCCCCAACATGTATTTTCATGATTCAAATAAAACTGTTTTCTATAAAAAAAAAAATCCATAGGGGCAACTGCCCCCCCCCCCCCCCGCCCTTCCGGCTGGCTACGGCACTGATATAGATTGTTTCCGAAATTAATTATAAAATATTTAAGTATTGATCCCACTTGTGCCCTTCCTGCCAACTTAGTTACTGTTGCTTACTGCCGCATCCGCAAGTTTGCAGCCATCCGCAGTGTGTGTGCTTGGATCATCTTGTTCAAGTATTACGACATGCACAGCAAGTACAGGCTGAAGGAGGCTAAACTGAGGAGGCTCGTCGGTCTCCTCCTGCCGCTTCAGCTTGTGAACGTTGTTTTATTCAGCCTTGTGTCTGTGGGCAGATGTTGTTTTGCCGCTGTTGTTCGCTGTTGTTGAAGTGTATAGGAAAAGTTTACAACTGTGAACTGTATGATGTATATTTATGTAAATTAAATTTTATGTATTGCGAAGTCAAAGACATGTTTGTTGTTTCTTTCAACTAAAAGAAGCCCGAAGTGCTCATTGGTTTGGAGATATGCAACTTGCTGTGTAGAGTTGTGTCCCTTGTTAGTACCAGGATTCACTTGTCCTGGGTTTGAATCCCAGATTCATACTGATAAATATGGTCTCTCAGCATGGACCCTAAAGATTCCGGGGTAGAATAGGTCTTCAGCAACCCATGCTAGCTGTAAAGGGTGACTATGCTTGTCGTAAAAGGGGATCGGGTGGTCAGGCTCGCTCACTTGGTTGATGCATGTCATCGAACCCAATTGTATGGATCGATGATCATGATATTAATCACTGGATTGTCAGGTCCGGACTCGATTATTTACAGACCGCCGTCATATAGCTGGAATATTGCTGAGTGCGGCGTTAAACAACAAACCAACCAACCAAATCTCTCAGCATGACACTTTTACTTAAGGTTTAACCAAAGCAGTAAAAATTGCAGACTTCTTTGCTCCCCAAACAGAAGATATGACTGAAATCCTGTTCAATGAAGGTTCAGTATGAGTTGTTTCCCCTTACCTGGCAGGATCCGCAAGTCGTGTTTGAATCCCAGATTATGACCCTTGATTTATCTGGACAGCCTCCATGGTCAGGTGGTAGAGTGTCCGCCCGGAGAGTGGAAGGTCGGGGGTTTGATTCCCGGCAGGGTCACACCATGACGTTAAAAGATGGTACTTGTTGTTACCCTGCCTGGCTCTCGACATGAAGGGGCTAAAACAAGGACTGGTCAGCTCGGAGTCAGTATGCTGTGTCTGA